GAAATCAGAGTTTTCCTTCTCCTAGATGGGCTGTCTTCCCAGGCTAACGAGTCCCACCTACCCGGGCTGCTCCCTCGTCACATGGGTGAACCTTTACCTTTACCTAATATAATATCATCTGCATATCTTAAATAACTGACATTTCTTCCACTTCTTCATCTGAGTCTAACCCAAGGTTCTGTATGATATGTTCTATATATAGATTGAACAGATAGGATGATTTTTTAAAATCATTGTTTCACCATAGTCTCTCCTTCACCCTTATATTTTCTTCATTATATATTCCATCCTACGGAATTATAGAATTATTATGGATGTCCATAATTCTCACTGAATCACTGCCCATTCCAAGGAACCTTCTGTTATTAAATCTTGTGTTTGCATGTCTGTATGTTTACTGGACTATGCTCTGGGGCAGAATGCAATATAAATGATGATGATGATGTTCTGATCCACAACGTAAGTCACACATCAGGACAATCAACTCTAAAGGCACATTCACTCCTTTCTTTTTAAAAAAATACATTTTATTTTCCAACATATAGTTTAAAAGCATATAAATATAACACCATATATCTTTAAAGGATAAACATAAATTGTAAGCTTAACCTACAAGCATTCTTATCACCCCTTTCTAAATGATCCAGTTTTCATGATCCACACAGTTGGAAGCTTTACTATAATCTATATAGCAGAGTCTGATTTTCTTCTAAATCCTTCAGTATGCTCCAAATATATTTTAAATACAGTCAACATACATTTGCAATTTGATCTCACGTGCCTGCTCCTTTTCTGAATTTGGCTTAAATACCAGGCCTTTCTCATTCCATATATTATATAAGTCTTTATTGCATAATCTTTGCTTGCATGGGAAATGAATAGAACTGTCCTTTTATTACTGCAATTTCTGGCATCCCCTTTCTTTGGGATGGAGTGTTTAATGAAGGGTGAAGAAGAGATCAATGGCTGCCACAGCTGTAGAATAGGCAATGGCAAAAACTGCTGCATGGCTCATATACCACAAGAAGATAAGAAGATACCAGCACCAAGTAGGCTTTTGCTGGTTTGCATTCAAATTGACCAGATTAACAGAGCGGGGGGGGGACCCTTGGTGGTGGCAGCACGTGGTAAGTGCTGTGAATCCACAGCTCTTGTGAAGCAACTGCCTCAGTAGAACTACAGTAATGGTTAGGGGAAACATGCTGAATCCTTCCCCTGCCTATATGTTTCTGTCCAACTACAGTTCTTCTCAAAACCTGCTTTCTCCCAACCATTAGTTCTTCTGGTAGGACTGAGAAGTGCGCTCCACTTGAGAAAAGCAAAAGGAAGCAGCTAACTGGGGCTGCTCCATAGACAGGGGAAAGCACTGTTAAGGACTAATGTTTGACATTTCTTCCCACAGTTTGAAAGTTACCTTCTCTCCGTATCCCCTTTCACATTAAAAACTGGTCTCAAGGTCTGTCAACCTTTTCAGCAAATAGCGCCAAGCAATAGCTAAGTTAACTTATGAATTCAGGTCCCAGAAATCGAAAACGTCTAGAAAGGCATACTTTCTCCTTTAAAAAAAATCACATCCATGCTACAGATTCTTGGAAAATAAGAAAGCTAATATTTATTAATTCGCTCAGATACAGAGATGCATAGAGCTATGGCTGCCTCCTAACATCTGGAAAACAAAAGCTCAATGTCTCTTCTGTCTTCTCCCAAGAAAGCCAAGACAGATATATGAGGAGGAAGGCCACGACATTAGCAACCCTAAGAATATCAGTCTAGCTTGAAAGGAAGGTCAGAACACAGGGCAGGGCAGGTAAAGGACAGCGAAAGAAGTCTGATGAGGTCCTTTCTTTCTGTCTCTCTTTGATCCCCCACCCCTGACATTCAAAGGCATGCATTTCTTTCAATGCTACCTGAATTGCAACCATTCACTTCCAACAACCAGATCAGGTCTAGCTTTCTCAGTCTCAGTCTCAGTCTCAGTATCTCTCTCTCTCTCTCTCTCTCTCTCTCTCTCACACACACACACACACACACACACACACACGCCTCATTTTAAGGAAAAGGAATGATGGATCCAGCCACCCACTAAATTCCCTGAGACACAAGCCTCCCTAAAACCAACTTTTGAAAATTGAATATAAAGGAAAAGAGATTCCACAGTCACATGATGACGGTTCTCCCCCCCCCCCATACACACCCACACACAAGCCTCCAGGGGAAAAAAGGTTTGATTGATTTGAATTTGAAATGAAATTAAGCCTTTCCGAAGAAGTACCCTAAGCTACCTGAAATCTCTCCCCAAATTCCCAGTAAAGGTGACGATGATTGATGAATGATGATGAAAAAGAAATATATAAGTCTTTGCTTTGCTGCTGCGAAACCGAAACCGCAAGAGCACCAGCAAGCCAGTGAGCAGCATGAACAGAAGTGGGGGACGGCCAAATGGGAAAAGCTTATATGAAATGTCTGTAAAAGTAAATACACCTTTCAGCAGCACTATTGGCTGCCGGACATGCCAATCCAGGATCTCTGTCCTGATTGGCCAGAGCTTCGAATTGGCGTCAGCAAGCTCAGAGAGGCCCCCCAAAAAGGGGTAACAAATATAGATGAATATGAACGGATTGACGAATAAAACTAAGGAAATATTCATCAAGCCATATTTGTTCTGATTTAAAATTTTACAAATACGGATCGACAAATATATGATGAATTGGCTATATTCATCAGAAAAACTTATCCATTTTTATATTTGTCCCCCATCTCTACTTACAACAAGTAATTCGTTGCTCTTGCTACATGGATACAGTTCAGATCTCAATGAGGGTGCAAGGTTCACAGCAAAGTAGAAACGAATTCCTTAAAACATTCAAGATCAAATTACAAAACAAAAACCTAACCAGTCAACTCTCCGCCACTATTTATTTTAAAATAGCCCCACTTCTTCTTTCTGATGGTCACATGTAACATGTTATCCCCATCATATTTCCCGTATTAAGCCTGCACTCAATAAGTACTGTACCAACAAAATAATTGCTACAAATTGTTTTAGTATATTAACATATTACTACAAACCAAATTACTGCATTATTACTTTCAGGAAGGAGACTTTTACTGGGGGATACTTCCCTTTTTATTTTTACTTTTTTGTGTCCCTTTAAATTGTCTTGATTCAGTAATAGTTTCAATACAATAATATGGCTAATTGTTTTTTAATATTATGCTGTAGTAAAAATAAATGAATATATAACAAACAATAGATAAATCAAATAAATAAAAAATGTTCTGCTTTAGACATTAAGACATCATGGAGTGACCCTGACGCATCGACAACTCTGAGATCTGCTTTTCTTTTGTTACATCTTGCCTTTACTAGTAGAAATTCATTCAGATTCTTTTGTTTTAAGCCCACAGGAATGGAAAGAAGCACCCCTAGATGTAGCCCAGGCCCCAGTAATTTTAATTGGAGCAAAGTGTTATGGAGCAAGAGATGCATTAAAATTAACACCATGCAGCCCACACAGGGCCATTTTTCAGGAGGAGATATTCCATCTGGCAAACAGGCCAGCCTGTTCTTTTGTATTGCCTCAATTCATGGTAATCATGAGAAGGAACCAACCAACCTACAACACTGCAGGAGCAAAGCTCACATTTATTTGTGCATACAGTCCGCTGCAAGCCACTAATTAAAGTTTGTGGGCAATTACCCGGCTTTGTCCATCAGCTCGTTTGCTGAAATTTTAGGCCAATGTCAGCAGGAAACTCCTGGCTGGAAAAACTTGCATATAGGATAATACTTTCATTAGTGGCCTGATTCCTAGCATATGAAGGCATGTGTTTAATTTTGCCCTCTAATCAGCAGGCCATTGCAAATATATTTTAGCCATGTATTTTCATGAGACCTGAGAAATTCAAGTCATTAAGTATGATTATGAAAGTAGGGGTTCTCAAACAATTGTGTAATCATGAGATTACGGCCTGCATAAATGTAATCCCTGGAGTATCCTCCTGAATTGCACAACTCTGCCCTGTTTCTGGAGAAAGTTTCAAGAGTGCAGAACAGGTCAACACATCCCCCCCCCAATTGCCTGAAAAATTAATCCTAGTTGTAATTCAGGGAATAGGGAAACTGAACAAACGTTATAGGCATAGGTTTCCACTTATATAGCCCCTAGATATGCAGGAAATAAAATATTCTGTGAATAACACATGATTCATTTTAACTAGATTTATAATTCATTACAGATTATGAGCAATCAAATATAGTTACTATATTTCAGAATATCAGTGGTTGTGAATAAATTTCCTGATATGTACTGTACTTGCCTCAAAATATGAAACATTATGGCCAAAATCAATGGGAATGTGGTGAGTCAATTCCCCCATATGTTCCATTAATTCAAATGGGCCCACTTTAGCTGCAACTTACTTTTAACATAGTACGTCGCAGTTACAGTAGGTCTGTTTGATTCAATGGAACATATGGAAGAGCTGACTCATCAAATCCCTGTTAATTTAATGGATCTATTATAGTGGAATTTACTAAGCAACAGGATTTTGGCCACTACGTTATTTCCTTGAAGAAGGGGAAAGTCAGAGAGGAGGATGTGCCCTAAAGGCAACACTCTACAATTAAACACTCATCCAAGAAAACAAAACAAAAAAGGGGCTAAGATGCCCGATCCCATTTGATTATTGGTCTATTCCCTCACTGTATGTGGCATGTCCTGGTTATTTAATTTAAGTGTAACATTACTGCATTTATTTTCTCAGGGTATTCCACTTAAATTTCACTCAAAATTTTCTTGAGTGGCCATCCTTCATATAAAAGCTACTAAAACAGATGTTTCTTTGGCTTCCATTCTATCATTTTTGCCTGTAGGCTCCCACTCTTTCTTTGGACGTATCTCCACTCTGAGACATCAAATGATGTTCCCACAAAATTTAGGAAGTTTCACAGCAAAGCCAAGAAAGGCAGAAGGGATAACAAGAAATGGCCTACTTACACGAATTTTTATTATTCTTGTCTTTGTGCCACAATTCTTCTTAAACAGCATCTTCTGAAAGAGAAGCAAAATCCTAGGGTAAGATTTGCAGCATACAAACAACAGCAGTTACATACCGTATTTTTCGCACCATAAGATGCACTTTTTCCCCACAAAACAGGGGGGTGGAAAGTCTCACAAACAACAGCAGTTACATAAATTTTATTTAATGCACTTGTAGACTGAGAACTGAGAAGTTGGGATGTGTGGCACTGTGGGTTAAACCGCAAAGCCTCTGGGCTGCAAGGTCGAAAGATCAGCAACTTGAATCCATGCAACAGAGTGAGCTCCCATCGCTTAATCCCAGCTCCTGCCAACCTAGCCGTTCGAAAGCATGTAAAATGCAAGTAGATATAGTAAATAGGTACCACCTCGGTGGGAAGGTAATGGTGTTCCGTGTCTAGTCGCGCTAGCCATGTGACCATGGAAACTGTCTTCGGACAAACGACTTTCCTGTTTTGCTTTAGACAGTCACTAAAGCAAAACAGGAAAGGAACCAAATGCTTACTAATTTATTTGACCACTTGGATTTTGGAACCCACCAAACATTTCTAAAGCCTGCTCAGGAATGAAGGGTTACATGCCAGACATCACTGACAGTAGCCAGCATTTCCTCCCTCAGAGAAGCATTTCTTGCTCCTTTGGTTCAAACTGCCAGGCCTCATATGGCACTGTTCTTCATGTTATATTACGGCATATCAGTACTTAAACCACTGTTTAGTACATTCAGCAAAATGCTCTAGTAATACGCTCTATACAAAGAAGCTCTTCAGCAGTGGCACACCCTAACTATCCCATCCCAATGAGTGTCAAGAAATACAGAGCATCTCACAGGAGAAACTCAACAGCCAGAAACCATTATGTTGTCAAGAGACATAACATCAAGCCACAAGCAAATCTAATTACAAAGTAGATTGAGCAAAGTTGCTCTTGTCAAAATAACACTGGCAGCAAGAAACATGAACCACCCAGTACTAATCTCAAAGAACTTTGAAACTGATTTTTCAGTAGATACCAAATTAATGGAAATGAGTAGGTACCACTCATTTCACACGTTAGCAAGGTAGGTTTCAGCAGTATGTGGCCCAAAACACTTCCAGTTCTTTCCATCACCACCCCACCCCACCCCCAGGTCCACAGACTTGTTTGGAACCCCTTTCATTATAGGGAAGCCATCAGGAGCTGCAGGATGTAAAGAAGTCTTTAATTTCTGAAAACTTTCACCACTGGGATGACTCTATCAGTAGTGCTAATGTTCAGAAATTTAAGACTTCCACTCATCTCATGGCCCAGATTCCACAGAAGCCTTGGGACCTTTGGGGGAAGGGAAAAATTTAATTAAAAAAACCTGTTGCAACAGATGACATTATCAGTCTCACATAGCTTAAATTATGCTGCTGGATTTGGGACAGTAATTCCCAATGTCATGCCACAAAGAGCTTCATCTGCCTATTTTTCACAAGTTGTTATTATGAGCACAGAGCAGACCACAATGGCAATCTCAGTCTTGGATTTCTAACTTGAAAACCTGAGTTAGTGGAATTAATTCATACACAAAGTGCTACAAGGAATTCCCAGGCAAGATACATCAATGGTGTGTGTGTGTGGGGGGGGAGAACTGCTATCCTAGCCCAAGTTTGCACCAGCCAATGTAATTCTCTGGGAAATGCCTATAAAACAAACTTGGGCTTTGTTCCCAGTGCTGCTACAAAAGGTATTATCCAGCTGGTACTTACTGGGCAAGGTCAGCAGCTTTGTTTAAAAGTCAATCCATCCACTATGCTGAGCCCAGAGAGATTCTGAAGTAGGGAAAAATATAAAGTATCTCTGTCAGAAAGTCCTAGGGATTCGTTAGGCGGCTGGCCCCCATAAACAGGCAAAGGAGTCTGTATCGGTTCTTGCAAATTCAACCATTTATTAACATTTATCAAAGGTGTGTCTACAACCACTTCAGTCGGCATAAACGTATCCGGCTGAGGAAATACCTTTTCAACAAGTCCAACAGGATTAACGGTATCATGTTGTCTTAAAAGGGGGGAGCCGGCCCAAAGCGTTCCCTCTCGGTGGGCTTCCGCAATGGGGCGCTCCGTACTGCACATATAGTCCCGCAACAAGGGTGGTGGGCCCAATCCTCCTCGCTGGGTGGGTGGTTGAAGCTCGGGTCGGGGCGCACCACTTTCCTCCAGTGACCACGCCCGCACGGGAAGACCACCATGGTCCATTCCAAAGTGCTGGGTGGGTGGTTAAAGCTTGGGTCGGGGCGCACCACCTTCCTCCAGTGACCACACCCGCACGAGAAGACCACCACGGTCCATTCCAAAGTCTCTTGGACAATAATACCTCCAGGCTTCTGGGGGGGGGGTCCGGTAGCAATCCCCCTACCGACAAGTTGGGAAAGTCAACAATCAGAGATTTTATCCTGCGCACGACCTCCTCTTCTTTCTTCTCCCTCTTTTTTCCTGTCACCACTCTAAATTCCCGCGTGAAAGTTCCCTCCTCAACGTTCTCCTCCCAGACCTCTACCCATTGTTCCTCCCCTTCCTGTCTCCCCTCCTCCAAGAGGCATACTTCAGCTTTAACCCCTGTTGGTCTTCTGTCTTCCGTGTCTTCACCTCCCCATCCAGCTCCCCCATCTACATTCGTCTTATCAAGAGGAGACGGCACACTATCGACTGAACTCTCCTCACAATCTCCAAAACAAAGGCATGCAGGTGGGCACTGCGAATGCAGTGGTCACTGCCGGTCATTAGACTCACCACAATTTTTTCATTCTCATCAGAAAACCACAGACTTGTTTTGAAATCTTCATAAGTTGAGAAAAAACAAGGGCCAGTTCTTATTGCTGCCTAGAGTTTCTCAGATACTGGGATAGGAGACGTGGACTATTAGGTCAGAGCAAACAGAAGAAGAGAGAAAGGGTCAAACTAGACAATACTGTACACTTGCAGCATGTGGTGCTTCCTAAGTAGTGGGAAATTGTCTCTCTATTAGAGATAATGCTTGTCCTCAGTGCCATCTCTTGCAATTAGCTGTGCTTTGCTTCTTAACTGTAACTGGAAAGTAAATAAAAGTTGACTTTGATGGTGGGATTGTCATTTCAAATGATAAATGTAACTTTTTTCCTAAACTAGTTAAGGATTCTGCAGCTCCAGACAGAACTGCAAGTAGCTAGGCTCATTATCTTCACCTTGAATTACACATTGCAGTGTGGCAAAAGACTTATACTGTATATGCCACTTCCACCAGTCAGAGAAATTACAGGAAGAACTGTGAGATACAAACATTCCTTGATCTGAATACGGAGAATTTTCTCCCCCTTGCAGAACAATTGTTTAGCTCGGTGGTCCCCAACCCACAGACCACAGACCACTGCCGGTCCGTGACCATGCACTCCCCCCACATGACCCATCCACCTGCACGTGCGCACAAGCATGCCCCACTCACGTGCGAGAGCGCCAAACCCATCTGAGTCCACCCTGCTCACCTGCATGAGCGTGCCCCACAAGCACACCCTGCCCACCCACGAGTGTGCCCCGCCCTCCTCCACGAGCGGGAGGTGCCCCCGTGCATGGACCCCACCTCCCCCCACTGGTCTGCAGTTCAGAAAAGGTTGGGGACCACTGCTTTAGCAGATATTCTCAAGGGGGAGCATATGGCGGGGCATAGACCCAAAACTTGGTCTGCAGTTAAGAAAAGGTTGGGGACCACTCCTTTAGCAGATATTCTCCAGGAGGAGCATATGGCGGGGCATAGACCCAAAACAATTCTTCACACACCACCTTATAGAGCAGGGGTGTCCAACCTTTCACCTTCCCTGGGCCACATTAGAAGATGAAAATTTGGTTTGGGCCGCACATAAATTTGGTTTGAGCCTCATGGGGGGCAGCCCTAGCCGTCCTCTGCAGCCCC